TAATTAGCTTTACCTCCTTTCAGCAGTTCTACAACTGACGGGGAGTATAGATCTTACGTCCAATCAAAGGTGATAGGAATGAGGGATAGTCCTGTAAAGCCTCCAAATAACTGGTTCAAAACCACATTGTTGGGCCGGATCCCTACGGGCAAAAAGGTCAGCGCGGCCAAGGATGCAATGAGCCAACGGGACCTTACAGGTGACAAAAGCAAAAACGGATAGTCCTTGCCATAGGACTCCCGGTATCCTGCAGTTCGAAGAAATTAGCATATGTAGTCCAGATTGGAATAAGAGTGCCTTACCAATACCAGACAAAAGCCCCCATTGTCACATAGAGGAAATATCGGTAGCGCGAGATGCGCCATCCATTGGTCTCTGATTCATCTGAGGGGCTCCAATCGTGAAGAGCATAAAATAAGGAAGAGTTTGCAAACTGACCAGGCCACATCATAGCAGCGGGCCTTGATATCGTGAGTATATGGAAATCTTGGCAGAGAGGGTCCAACTTACCAGACGAGGAAACGGCGGAAAATGCCTGCCAGTGACATACCAATCACCTGACTGCTCAAGGCGAATAAAAGCTGGAATCCCCATCCAAGTTCTATATTATAGAGTGCTGAGAGTGTGTTAGATTGAGATTGATTCAGGGCAAGAGAGATTGCTTACGCTTTGCTTTCAATGCCAAGAGGGCATCTGTACAATAAGCATATCCGATCGAAACACTAAATATTGCTTAGCATTGATATCAAAGCTTGTGATTAAAATCCACCAACTTTGCCATGATCTAAAAACAAAAGGTCAGCTTCCATAATTTTTGAGCATCAAGTTTCAAGAACTTACTGTGATCACCGCATGCTCTTTGATAGTGAAAGGACCGGGGTTAAACGTCCATTCCACTCCGAATGTATTGAACTTCCGAGTCGGCATGGTCTTGGCCCACAAACAACCCAGCGGATAGACCAGTAACTGCACGACGATAGCAGGGAAGGAGATAGCAGGACTCCTAACACAAGATGAGTAAATCATTTCTCACTCCAAGGCTGTATTAAAATCAAAACCCACCTCATACTCAAAAACATATTAATTCCACTTCCAAGAGTAGTAAAAATCATGCCCAGTACCCAAGCACGCACGGTGTTTGCAACCTCTCCCCCATCTGTATTACGCACCGCGGCACGAACCAAATCATACTGGGAATCCTGTACGAGGGTCTTTTCTATCTCGACGGCCTTTTCTTGATCGCCTGTCTTGACTACCTCGTTAATAGCATCAATCTTCTCCTGTGGCAAATTTGGATCCCACTGGTGGGTGAGTTGGACTTTCTGTAACTCTTGGATCGCATTGGTTGCTGACTTGTCATTATCATCTGGGTCGAGACCCTCCGTGACAGGCAGATGCGGACCCATTCTGCAACAATAGGGTAAGAGGTGACCCGATTAGGATTCGGTTGATCAATCAACTTAGTGTTGAAAGCTCCTAGACATGGCAAGAAGAGAGAGATGGGTATACAAGTCTTATATGACATGACCTCGGGAATAAGCACAACAGACTAGAGGAGATGATATCGGAAGACATGTCCGTGCAAAGCAATATAGCACCGGTCCAGTCACCTAGCAGTCCTTATCTAAATTGGACGGCTATTGATTTCCCCCGCATTCTAACATGCACAGATTATAAGCTATCGGAGATACTCTCAAATCCCGAGATAACAATCTTTTTTAGGTATAAACGCGGAGAAACTCCACGCTACGTTCCAAGCTAGCCGATGCGATATGAACAATAAAACCATTCGGATCAGCCAGCGATAGGAGGCCGGCTACGCTATCCGACGTCCGTTGTGGTAGGACCTATTTTAATGGAGGTACTTTAGCCGCAACCCTATCTTTTTCTTTTTTAATAGTCTCAGCTCCCTCTCCACACATCTCAGCTTTGATTTCCCGGCCCCGGACTCGACTTCAAAGATAAAATAAAAATATCCTAAATTCATTTATTACCAAAACAAGACGATAGCGGGATTTTGCCTATCATGGTATCTGTCACGTCACCCAGGGGTATCGCCATCCAGCGTGCACAAGCCGACACAATGCGAGACAGAATTGAGCGCATCACCGAGGACCTCAAAGATATTAAGACCTTTTACCCTATCAAAATATCTCCGAGAAGAACCCAGAAGTTACGTGAGTTCCTTACATCTGAGCTCGAGTTACTCCACAGCCAGCCTTTTGATCTTTACGATCAACAAGGGAAGGTAGATTATCTTCTCGTGAGAAACTACCTGGAAAGGCAGCTTCGCGAGTTGGAACTCGATCGTAAACAGGATGCAAAAACCGCACTACTTCTACCATTTTCAGACAATCTGATAGAGCTGTGCGAGGCTCGTGCGATAGTAGTGTCGATGAAGTCAAAAGATGCTGCCCAGAAGCTTGTTGAATCCCAGTCTCAAATTGCAGCCGTGATAGACATGATCAAGAACGACCCGACCAAGATCCAGATGGAGAAAACAATTGCATTTAGAGCGGCGAGAAACATAGACTCATTGCACTCCAACCTAAAGGAGTGGTTCGAGTTCTACAAAGGCTACGATCCGTCGTTCAACTGGTGGGTATCACATCCATATGGGATTGTGGAAAAGGGCCTAGAAGAGGTTTCAGCAAGTATCCGAGAGAACTTGGCTGGCATCCGCCCAGGTAATGAAGACGCAATAGTGGGCGATCCTATCGGTCGAGAGGGTCTGCTTAGCGAGCTCTTGGGCGAAATGATTGCCTACACACCAGAAGAACTGATCTCGATCGGAGAGAATGAGTTCAGATGGTGTGTTGCTGAACTGAAAAAGGCATCGCGCAGCATGGGGTACGAGGACGACTGGAAGCAGGCCCTGGAAGAAGTCAAGAATGATTTCGTCGAGCCTGGAAAACAAACCGAATTAGTCCGAGATCTCACGATGGAAGCAATCTCCTTTGTCGAAGATCACCAACTCGTCACCGTTCCGCCCGTTGCCAAAGAGAATTGGCAAATGTTTATGATGTCGCCCGAGCACCAGAAAGTCAACCCTTTCTTCCTCGGCGGCGACTGTATCATTGTCTCATATCCAACCGATCAGATGGATCATGAAGCCAAGCTGATGAGCATGCGCGGGAATAACGTTCATTTCTCCCGCGCTACGGTCTTCCATGAGATGATCCCCGGACATCATTTGCAGATGCACATGATTGCGAGATACAGACCCTACCGTCAATTATTTGATACTCCGTTTTGGATTGAAGGATGGGCTCTGTATTGGGAGTTCCTTTTATGGAACGACGAACGGTTCCAAAAGACGCCGCAGAATCGGATCGGGATGCTGTTCTGGCGGCTTCATCGATGCGCTCGGATTATATTCTCCATCAAGTTTCATCTTAGTCAGATGGCTCCTCAGGAATGCATTGATCTACTCGTCGATGAAGTTGGACATGAACGTGCCACTGCAGAAGGAGAAGTGAGGCGATCATTGAATGGTGATTATTCGCCGTTATATCAGGCCGGGTATATGCTGGGTGCGTTACAGATATATGCATTGCGAAAGGAGGCCGTCGAGACGGGAGAACTTGGAGAGAAGGAATTCCATGATCTGTTTTTGAAGGGAAATTGTATGCCGATAGAGTTGGCGCGAGCCTTGATGCAAGATCAACCGTTATCGCGTGAGCACAAGCCGTCTTGGAAGTTCTATTCCTTATAAAACCTATTTCATGATGAATAGGGCTAGGAGAAATAAATGAAAACATTATATATCTTCAATGAGAATCTACTCTACTACCTGGCATAAGCACGAACTACCTGTATGTTTTATCTTACGGCCCCGGGGCCTCACTCTTAACGCCAACATCGCTCCTGATTTCCTGGAAATATCTTGTCTTCTCTTCTAAGATCGACTGTAATAACCGAATTCCTATCTTGGAAGTACAAACAAACAAATATTGTGACTGCAGTGGCGATCAAGACCTATAGGTTGTGGATCTGAATCATCGTAGTGTTTAGACCAATGAGTATCCAGAACTTGATACAATGGGACTTACCTAATGATCGCAGCTCATATTTCATTCTCATTGGTGGATTCAGATACCGATGACTCTGCCTCGGGCCTATATTTCCAAGGTAGTTTACATGAAGTGAGGGCGCATATCCTGCTACGTAATAGGCCCAACAAGCTTGCAACTAATGTATGACCTGCATCGTGTTGTGGCTGTATAGTGCATGTTCAACCCCGCAGTGACAAGTTAGCCACATAAGTGATCTATGTGGCTTCTGCGATGAGTTAACTTCGAGATAAGATCTTTCAAGGACACGTTTTGAATAGCATGTCAAATGCCTTTCCTCTCTCGTTACAATGACAAAGCGCAAGTGAATATAATTGTACATCTTCAATTTGCCTCATAAGTCAGCATGTAGTCCCATGGAATCTACTTGGCCCAACTATTGAGGTCTGTCCAAGCATTGGGGTAAAGATTAATTACGTCATAGCTTGGTGGTCCAGTAACTAACTAGGCCGTGTAGTTGAGTCGATATCCATGTATCTGCGATGGCCTCTTTGAACGACCATGGAAGTAAATAGAAGTAATGGAATGTTCAACCTGGCGTCTATCATAGCCGCAAGTTCACTAGTGCAATTGGAGATCTAAATCTGTTCCACAGATTGATTGGTGATGTCAGAAAGGCTAGGACAGGTCAAAAACTGTAAACTGTGGATAGAACTAGGATTACAGCCACACGAGCTTCCAAGTTTCTTATGGTTTGGTTAGCCAAACTTGGCGATGTGACTTGTTGGAAACTCTTGGAAACTGGACTGTTCCGGGGTCTTTCATGACGTCATGACGTCATTGCCCCTGCGCAGTGGAAATCCAGAACTACATAAATATCCCTTCAATTCCCAGCTCATTCCATCTTCATCAACTCATCTACTCAATCATCCACTATTCCAAACAACCTTTTCAAACAAACCACACTTTCCAACCCTCAAATTCACAATGGAGACTGCCAAGGTTCGTGACCAACCCAACTCTCATACTTGCGCTTGTGCCATCAACTAACAAACCTACAGCAAGCCGTTAACTACGTCGCTGAGACCATCCAGGGTACTGGTGCTGAGGCTTCCAAGGAGGCCAACAAGAACGTCGCCAAGAGCAGCGATGCCAACGTCTCTACCCGCGCCAGCGCTGCCAAGGACGCACTCGTCGACAAGAAGGACGAGGTTTCCCACAACACCAAGGCTGATGTCCACAAGGGTAAGCTAAATCATTGAACCAAGGCACTTAAGAGAATAGTACTAACAACACCACAGAGGCTGCCAAGAACTAAAGTGATCTAACTCTACGAGACTACTACTTTTGTACACCATTTAGGCGGAAACCCTGTCTTTTTGATGATTTGACGATGTAAATAGCGAACAATACCACTTCACAACATTTACAGCCAAGTTTTTACATTATAATCTTTAGATTTAGTTTTTTTAGTGTTCTTTAATGCACCATTACACATACTCCGTTCATAGAACCTTGTTGAGATTGGTGCCTGAGGTTTGCGACTTTATTTGAGCTTAATCGGCATCTGGGCAACTTACCGAGGGTAAAAAGTACGGTTATCCGGAACATGTTTGCAGAAAGAGAAGAAATGGTGTTATATCCGAGCCAGATACTAAAAACCATCAAGACAGGAACATATTCCTCAACCCGTACCCGGCCTACGGTCTCCTCCACCCAAAATCCGCCAAGAAACGGATATGGGCGAGGTCTACTCCGTGCCCTTACTATACCCAAACTCTTCTCCACTCCTGCTTCCCAGTGCCAACAGACTCTTGTCTAGTATTGGGTCAGCGCGATCACACTGACTGTATAAATCAAAATCTGGTCTCCTGCCAGTCTTGCGATCAGACTTAACCCTGTAAGCAGCCTTGAACATGCACCGTCGAAACCTAGTCTGTGGTGTGAAGCACCGCGATCCTTACTCACCCCGCTCAGCTGCTCCCATCGGGAGTGAAGGAAACAAGTTGACTTGGCCTTATGACCATCTGCCAAGGCGAGAAAGTTTATCATTCCTAGTCCTAGGATATTCTAGACAGTCATATGACTAGATATATAAACGACAAGGAACCCGCCCACTCCTTTTTCTTTCAAATTTAAACCTCTCAAACAAGAAATATATTTATCAAGACCCAGAGTACGTCTACCGGCTCCCTTACTACACTGGTTAGCTACTCTCCTACATCTCAGCACGATGTGTCATAACATGATAACATATACCTGCGGCCATACCGTCAAGTCTCAGTCGACCACCTGCCCGTGTGGACACAGGGACTCGGATATGACCTCAAGCTTCAAGTGCAAAACATCATGCACGGGGTCTTGAAACCGGTCACCACACTTGGCTGTGCGGGAGCCTCGTGCGCCCGCCACTGTACCCTGGATTATTGAAGGGTCGACGAATGGGGATTTGTTCGAGGGTAGCGTTTCATATCAAAGTTTAGAGCCGGGATATTTATCTCCGTTGCTGGCAGTATAGTTTTTCCATCCATCATGGAGGATTGAATAGGGGAAGATTCGACTAGTGAATCACTATTACATTAACGTTAGAGGCTAGCAACTCACATGCTGTACTATTTAATTGCCATGACCGGCCATTTCTATATTTAACCTGGAACTAGGAGAACCCCGACCCTCTAGCGGTCACTAGCGCTATCTTGCCAACAAACACCCTGGAAGACCTGAGAATTTTCATACACGGATTAACTCCGACCGCTATCCTCTGACGTAATTTTCAGGTTGAACGATGGCATTCGTGCCTTACCTTCCAAGGGGTCTTTTTTGCAGATCAAATGTCAAATGCAACGAGTTCCTAAATTAATAAGAAGTATAGAGGATATCCAACTAGTTATGTTTCATGAGATAATCATGGCTTCAAAGAGACTCAAACAAGAACCTGAAGAACATTTGACCAGGCACGGTCATGAGTTCCATGGCTTGTGTCAATGTTACCTTGGACCCGACATTCGAAATGTTCCAGACTATTTCTACTTTCGGTAACTGATTGGTGTACCACTTGACACATGTTGATGGACTGCCAATGATACAACAATGGACGGGGTGGGCGGGCCACAAGGAACGCCCGTTTATGTTGATGCAACAAAATCTGATCTCCAGAGCCGTGGGAACTGCATCAATTGTAGGGCTTCTGAAAGAAAAGTGGCCCGTTGCTTACTCTTCATAACGGTGATCAGCGCTAAAATCGCCCAGAGAATAGTCCCAATTCTAATAATAACACAAAGTCCACCTTTTTTTTCTTTATCTTTGTCTCACCTCTCGTTCTCTTTTTCGAATTTCCCCCAAATTTCCCCTCGTTTTAATCTATTCCCTCATCCCACTCTCATGCTGGGCTCTTGATTTCCCCCGGCCCCTCGTTCATGCCGGATCGCCACTCGTTTCTGCTTTGACGTAATGGATATACATCACTTGAGCTTGCATGCCCGCACAGATGGGGCGGATACTTTCCTCGAGCTGATTGCTAATCCATTTCGTTCTGCAGTAAGTTTGTTCGGAGCGAACGGAGAGAACAACATATTGACAAGCTACAGTTTACAGTTACTGCTATTTGGGCCTCGCTAGGTACCTCGATCGGCGTCACCGTCCTCCTCGCCCTCCTCTTTTCCCTTGTTCGACCCCGTCACTCGCTTGTCTATGCGCCCAAAGTCAAGCATGCAGACCTCAAACACACTCCGCCCCCGGTGGGCAAGGGCTTCTTCGCCTGGGTTAAACCGGTTATCAATACACGGGAACCGCAGTTGATCGAGACAGTCGGCCTGGATGCCGCAATCTTCCTTCGCTTTACAAAAATGTGCCGAAATATCTTCATCTTCCTTAGCATAATCGGCTGCCTCGTCATGATACCGGTTAATATCACACAGAGCAAGAATACTACCGACTCATCGGCATCCTCCGCCTTCAACATGATGACACCCCTCAACATCACCAATCCCACGGCTATTTGGAGTCAGGTCGTATGCGCCTGGGCTTTTGATCTTATTGTTGTTTTCTTTTTATGGAGGAATTATCGCGTTGTACGGAATCTGCGGAGGCAATATTTCCAAAGCTCCGAATACCAGCGCAGTCTGCATGCTAGAACTTTGATGATCACCGACATCCCTCCCAATAGCCGTACCGACGAAGGTATTCTTCGGCTGACCGACCAGGTCAATCCGACCGCGGCCCTCCCACGAGCTGCGATTGGCCGTAACGTCAGGGACTTGCCCCGAATTATCAAAGAACACGAAGAGGTTGTCCGACAACTCGAGTCCGTTTTGGCCAAGTACCTTAAGAACCCGGACCGATTGCCTGCGAAAAGACCTACCCTACGCCCCCTCGCAAACAACGCAACCAACTCGCTAGCGGCAGAGTAGACGCGATCGATTATCTATCCGTCCGAATTCGCGTCTTGGAAGAGGAAATCAAGCACGGACGGGCGTCGATTGATCGCCGGAACGCGATGCCCTACGGCTTTGCCAGTTGGGACAACATCGAGCATGCTCATGCTGTGGCGTGGAACTCTCGCCGCAAGCACCCCGAGGGCACCACCATTGATCTTGCGCCGCGGCCCAGCGATATCATCTGGGAAAATCTACCACTTACAAAATCAGCACGCAAATGGAAACGACTGGTCAATTTTGTCTGGGTGACATGCCTGACCGTTGTGTGGATTGTTCCTAACGGACTGATTGCCATTTTCTTGTCCAACTTGTCAAATTTGGGATTGGTGTGGCCGGCGTTCCAGACCTCGCTCTCAGCGAACCCAAATGTCTGGGCTGCTGTCCAGGGTATTGCGTCGCCTGCACTAACCTCGCTCGTTTATCTGGCGCTTCCGATCATCTTCCGTCGACTTTCTATCCAAGGTGGCAGCAAGACTAAAACATCTCGAGAGCGTCATGTGCTGGGACATCTGTATGCGTTTTTCGTTTTCAACAATCTGATCGTATTTTCACTCTTCTCGGCTGCTTGGTACTTTGTGTCGTTCGTGATTGACAAAACCAACAACCACGAAGACGCTTGGCAAGCCATCTTGGAAAGCCGGATGTATGCCAAGTTGGTTAGCGCGTTGTGCACCGTATCACCGTTTTGGGTGACGTATCTTTTGCAGCGTAATCTCGGCGCCGCTATTGATCTTGTGCAGCTCGTTACCATGGTTTGGGTTTGGTTCGCAAAGACCTTTCTCTCGCCGACACCCCGACAGGCGATTGAGTGGACCGCACCGCCACCATTCGACTACGCCAGTTACTACAACTACTTCCTCTTCTATGCCACCGTGGCTCTTTGTTTCGCTACCTTGCAGCCGATTGTACTACCGGTGACGGCATTGTACTTTGGTGTGGACGCCATGTTGAAGAAGTATCTGCTGATGTACGTGTTTATAACCAAGAATGAGTCTGGTGGTGCATTTTGGCGAGTTTTATTCAATCGCCTGATCTTCGCTACTATTCTTGCCAATGTGATCATCGCCCTTGTTGCCAAGGCGAGCGGCACGTGGACCATGGTGTTCTGCGTGGTTCCCCTACCGTTCATGATGCTTGGGTTCAAGGTCTATTGCATGAAGACGTTTGACTCCGATTGCGAGTTTTACAATCGCGCAAACTTAAGTGACGCCGAAGCCCTGGGCGTGAACAAATCCGACAAGAAGGCCTCGGACCGTCTGAACTCCAAGTTCGGACACCCTGCCCTGTACAAACCACTTTTGACACCTATGGTGCACGCCAAGGCAGCCGAGGCACTAAAGGACATCTACCAGGGTCGTCTGGACCAGGGAGACACGGGCGGCGAGTACTCTGACATCGCAATGAACCCGATGCTCGCATCCCAGCCCGGCAAGTCCGCCGAGCATTCGCCATTCGAGGTCGTCCCAGAGAACCAGCTAGACTTCTCGTATTACAAGGATCGAGCAGATTTCCGCGACGAGTTCGGAGGTGGCATCTACGGCCGACCCGAGGACCTGATGACAGAGCGCTCGCACACACCCCGCAGTACTCTGAGAGGCGAGTGGTCCCCCGGCTCATCCCGTGCCTCATCACCCGCGCCCTCTCTGCCACCAATGCCGCTAAATATGCACAATGGCTACGAGCCCCCCGATCCGACAGGACTGATCCACCCGGCCTTCCGTGTGCCGCTATCGCGCGGCGACAGTGGCAACTCGGTAGACGAGGCCGAATCCAGACTCCTCAATCATGCACAGACTCCCGGGCAGGTGGATATCACGAATCCTCTCGATCGCTGGCGCACTGGTGGCTATGGACCTGTCGGCCAGGACGACGAGCCCGCGTATGCCCCCTACGACGCTTACCGCCCACATTGATAGGGTCTGATTTGTTCATATTTGGCCTCCTGGGCCATTTGCATTTGTAAAGCATTTTGTATTCTAACTTGGCGAACAACATTTGGGGGTGGGGGTCACAGCGTCATTTTTAAACACGAAGGTCACGATTAAAACTTTTTGCCTTAAGGGCATATCTTGGAAAATACCATGCACATATGTGGACGATTTAGATGTTATAATATCAAAGTCACTTTTCCAACCTCTCTACTAGTCCAGCTCTTCTCTTCAACTCTATACACTGAATTTTAGTTTATAATGTCCTCTCAGCTCACATTAGACTTGATGAAATGCGCAACCGCAGCAAGTTCCCTCTTCCCACTCGGAACCACATGTCCACCCGAATGCCATACAACAATCCGTTTCCTCTCATCCTCCAGACAACTTTCCACCAACCTCATCGACGCACTCTCATCAACAACAGTATCCATACTCCCCCAAAAATGCATCATCGGCGTCCGAATACCAGGATCATAGAAAGCACGATAAGCCGGATTCGACGCCCCATATCCCGAAAAACCAACCACGAACTTAAGAGGCGGATGTTCAAGTGTATCGAAGCAAGCAGGATATGACATCCCACCCTCCTCTTCCAATCGAGCAAACGCATCCTTTCGATTTCCTTCCAGAAGCGAAGCGACCATAGCGGCCATAGCGGCACCCTGACTAAACCCGACGACCCCATCGAATGGCCCGGAGTCCTTGAGAGTAGATGCAATTGACTCCAAGCTGGTTTCTATTCCGGGGTATAGACCGTCGATGGATTCGGAGTCGAACCAGCTCCATGATCCGTGGCGATTGCGTAGTTCGGATGTGCCATTGGAGGGATCTAGTGCGAAGGGAGCTGTTGGGTAGATAAGTTCAACACCGGCGGGTTGGAGAGGGATGGCTCGGTTGATTTGTTTTTCTAGGGCTTGGAGTTTTGCTCGGAAGAGTTCGCCTGATTGGCGGGATCCTGTAGTCATCAGATTTAGTAGTGACTGCGTGGTTATGGTGTGAAATACCGTGGATCATTAGGATTTTCATGGTTGGACTGGATTTATAAATGCTGGATGGAGAGGAATTTCACTGAATGCACTTGGGTAGGGATATAGGAGACTATATAGTACTGTGAAGCACTGCCTACTTACTATAGTCAACTAGTAATAGTGGTCTTACATGCGTCAACGTAAAAGGCTAGTACTTTTTTACTTTTAACCGATTTATTAGATTCCACGCATTTTTTTTTTTCCACGGTGACACATATTATCCTCTTCCACGATAGTTCCATATTGGGTGATGAGCGAAGCTAAGTAGACCGCAAGTACTTTTCACACCCCATGGTTGTACGCAATAAAAATCATACAGGAAAAGCTGCCCATTACGTAGTTGAAGAGAAGCTAGCTGTAATTATAGATATCAGTATAATTACGAGTTTTATATCATAATAACACAAAGTCAGAACTTGAAGGGTGTGGTTCCTATCTGATGAAATCATTTCCTAGCGCTGTGATCTGGCAAATCTCTTATACTTAGGTGCCTACGTTTGAGGCTCACCAATATGACAGTACCTTATCTGACCGGTCAATTCAAATTGAGTTGCTATATCTCGAGAAAAGAGCGGAAGTTAGAAATTGAAGCCGAGGATGTTTATAAACACCTGAGATGCCAGGCCACAAATTTCACGTGAGTATCCAGGGTCTGACCAATCAGATCAAAGTACCTTACTCATGGATCCCAAGCTGAGGCAGTACAATTCGAGTCTCTGCATTTCATTTGCTAACCGAGGATCTATAAAACTCCCAACTGACCCCAAAAAATGAAATCGTGAAAAAGGGAGCTGTCAGCAGTGGTGGACCGAGTCGCAGCGCGCCAAAGCACTAACACAGCTCCAACCCAGCAACCGTACCCTCCCGAGGCACACCAGACTCCAAATCCACCCCAAAATGGCGTGGTATTCCATCCTTCCGCCAGAGCTTACCCACCTAGAGAGCTGGGTAGCTCGTATCTTCGTGAGTTCCCCCTCTTTCCTCCGAACGTAGCCCTTAGCCTCCCCCTGTGTTATGACGCAGTCGCTAATCTACCCCGGATTCCGCAGTTCTTCCTCGGTCTCATCACCATTGGCCCCTGGGCTTTCCTCGTACTCCTCGACGCAACGATCTGGATATACCGACTGATTCTATGGGAGGTGCCCTATATCGGTGGACGGGCACGTGGTCGACAGCGCCCTCGCGCGCCGAGCTTGAATGAACGTCCCGGTGGGCAACGGAGGGCTTTCGGCCTGCGCGGCGTGGAGACGGATGCCGGTGATAACGAGGGAGGTGATCGTGATGACTCTTCGAGGATGGAAGGGGAGACTCGGAAGGAGAATGTGAGCCCTGTTCAAGCATTGAGTCCACGTTTGAGTGGAGATGGGACCTTGAAACAAAGGAGCTCGGGGCAGATATGATGATCGGGTCCCCTTGTGAGAAGTGATGATATTTATGATATTGTGTTATTGTTTTGTCTCTCGTTTAGACTATATGAGCAAGCATGCATTTCTTTTCCAAGGTCATTGCCTTTGATATCCTGCAACATCGAGTCTTGTACGTGGGAGGATTTACATCATGTACAAGACTTATACGAAGATAGTACAATACTTGCAGATTATAATCTATACCAAGTCGGTTCTATGTAGTATCCAATCTAAATACCCCAACGGTCTTATCTTGAACCCCGCAGACCAGCTCGGTCTTGTGAGTCAATCAGGAAACATTGAACGGACAGATCGGCCACTCAAAGTCGAGATAAGCCCCAGTCTCCAAGATAGACTCGCTTTCTAGGAGGTCATGTGAAGCAAGTGTTTTAACATAAAACTCTCTGTTGGGTAGGGTAAATTCCAACAGCTTAGATCCACTCCATAGTGATTTGACCATGACAGAACCCCTATACAAACTAGACTTCGGTGGATCATGGCCTATATTCTCCAGACACTTGGTCTGTGTTATCATCGTGGGCTTGTGTGCTGCCATGTGGAGGATCCGACAATCTCGCACGGCTAATGCACACGAAAGGAAGCCAACTTGCTCGGACAAGAAGAAATCCCCCATCACACCTCTAGAGGGATTCAACTGGGAGGAGACTGAGCCGTTACAATTTCGGCCATTCAAAGGAAAAGAGAAATATAACTTGACCATGGGTAAGCCCCTCTCGTCCGATCTTATACAACTGTGCCATAGTACATCACTCGACATCTCCAGACTAATAAATATTAGCACTTGAAAACCTCGATCCATCAGATCTCATCCCGATGGACAAAACATACAAGAGCCGAGTCGCTCTCCGCAAATCCGTCCTAGACCAACACCACGACATCGTGGTAGCGATCAACAATGATGAAACCCCAGAGGAGGACTCTCGCATTCGGCCCGCCATTAGCGAACTATACAACTTCATGCTGGGAACATACCTCCCAACCCGATATCCGAGTATGTTCCGTCTATACGCCGAAAGCTCATTCTTCCAAAACCTAGTAACAGGCGCAACCTGGCCAACAACCCTGTCACCAACGACGCCAACAATCCAAGCCCTGGAAATCCTGAGCCAGACAGTAGACGAGGATTTCCTAATCCTACTACCTGAGATTTCACCCGACAGTGAAGAGCAACCGAGGTATGTACTGCAGGCATATGCGACCTGTTTCCCGGCTGGGTTCAACACGCGCGAGAAACTCGGGTTGCGTTTGGCAGATATCCATAGCCCCGTCCCGCGCTATCAGGAGAGGATTGGGCGTAGCATGGATAAGTTCTTTGCGCGTATTGAGGTTGGCAAGTTTGTGAAGCGTCTCAATTGGAGTATCACTATTGGCACCGATCTGTTTGCTGCTTTTGGTGGAACGCATGCTATGTCGGGGAAAAAGGAGGAGGCTATTGAGCTTGGGAAATTGAATGTTGACCAGGTATGTTGGAAGAAGTTGATTTGATGGAATAGCGCTGATACCATCAAAGACTGTTCTCCGATGTGAGCGTCAGACATTGCATCGACTGCCGGTGTCGAAGGCTCTTGTCTTTATCGTCCACACTTATGTTTATCCGATCAGGCAGATTAAAGATGAGGGTTCTGGTGAGGATCTTGCGAATGCGGTCGATGGCTTGAAGAGGGGGAATGTGCCAGAAATCCATACTTATAAGAGGGGAGATGTGTGGGGAGAAGCATTGAAGGACTTTCTAAGGGCCTAGATCTCTGCATACGTTGGAAATTATGTTGGGATTCTGTGCAAGATCCATATATTATATAGTAGATATGACACAAGGATTGGATCTAAGAAAGGGTGTTACTTTATATGCGTTGTCAAATTTTGGATTTTATCTTTTTAGGTCTCCAAGGCTCAGCAATTTAGCGCAGGCGCTCAACAACCTTGATAAGATCGGCCGAGACACCCATGGCAGTAACCTCACCACCGGCACCGGCACCTTGGACAATCAGGGGGTTGGCACCGTAGCGCTTGGTGTAGAAGCTGATGATGTTGTCACTGCCCTTCAGACCAGCGATGGCGCTGTCCTTATCAAAGTACTGCAGACCGACCTTGACAGCCTTGGCAGCAACATCAATGCTACCAACATAGCGAACAACCTTGCCCTGCTTCTCAGCAGTGTCCTTGATGTTGGCCATCTGCACATCGAATTCGGGGAGACGGGTCATGAACTGAGTAATGCCGTCGGCGGATGAAGGCAGAGACTCGAGCTCAGCGGGGATCAGAGACTCAATAGGGAAAGAGTCGGGACGGGAAACCTCCAGACCAGCAATACGGGCCAGGATGGTCAGCTTGCGTGCAACATCCATGCCGTTCAGGTCATCACGAGGATCCGGCTCGGTGTAGCCCAGCTCCTTAGCCTGGGCGACAACGGCGCTCCACTGCGCATCAGAAGCGCCTGATGCAGGGGCGAAGGTATTGAAGAGGAAGGAAAGAGTGCCAGAGAACACACCCTCAATGCGGGTGACCTCGTCACCGGTGGCCACAAGGTCCTTCAAGGTCGACAACACGGGCAAGCCGGCGCCGACGGTGCTCTCGTGGTACACAAGGGCCTTGCCCTCAGCTGCGGAGGCAAAGATATCCTTCCACAGGGACAGGTCATCGGAGAATCCCTTCTTGTTGGGTGTCACCACTGAGATGCCCTTCTTGAGGAATGTGGGGTATTGCCGGGCGAGGCTAATGTCAGAGGTGTTATCGACCAGAATGGCTCGGCCAGGGGCTGCGGCAAGATATGTGGCAATTTCCTCGGCTTGGAGGGCACCGGCCTTGGTCAGAGATGGTGCAGCAGAAGCCGTAGCCCAGTCAGCGGCGGGGATGGCCGGTGAGTAGGCGGGGGTCGGAGCAAGGAGGGCTTGGGAGGAACGGGCAAGGACGACAAGCTGGGGCGCATTGGGAAGACGGGCAAGCTGTTGGAGGAAGGCAGTACCAACGCCTCCAACACCTAGTTCATCAAATCATCAGTACTTAATTGATTCGGACTTCCAAAGCTCAGTAGTGAGGGCATACCAATGACACCGAGGTAGATAGGGCTAGCCGACATGATGTTGTTTGGGAAATTTTTGTTGATTATTTCGATTGGCCTTAGTTTCTGATTCTCAGCAAAGAGTTCAATATCAGATCAAAACTAAAAGAACAGTCAATTGAGTCAACGCGATCGATTCACCTGAGTAGTGGGGGCGCGGGGCTGCCCCGAACATCGGCCTTAGTCATCAAGAACTGGCAGAAAACGACATCCAAGGATTGGCGGTGTATACCATCGGGCTTATCGATAAGCCGGTGGCATTGTAGGATGTAGAACTTCTGTGAAACTTGCATCTTCTTGACATTACAGCATACATACTATTCACGTCATAATGCCTGCTGACCAGGACTCCCTCTACGGTCAACCACGTTCAAAAAAGAACAAAACTGAACAAACTACCACCTCAAGCCTCGCCTTCACCTCCCAACTCTCTTCACTCATCGCCCAAGATGCGACCTCGGGTTCATCGCGTGGGCGCCAGCGTCCCTCCAAGAATCCAAAGTCAGACATCTTTTCAAAGCACAACAAAGGCACCCAGAAGCGCGCAGCTGCCGATCTTGCAGACGACAACAGGGCCGTCAAGCAAGTCCACAGAAGCACCCAGGACATTGGCTCCGTCGACGCCAACACACTCAGCCGGTCTCGACGCCGCATGCAGGAAAAAGCGCGCCTTTACGATGATATGAAAAAGGGACTGCATCTTGCCGGCGACAGTGATGATGATGACATGCCGATTGATCCATCCGACCCGGACGCCTACCTAGCCCGACTACGACGCAAGGAGAAAGATGCACTGGTTGATTTCGATCTCAAGCACGCAAACGAGGAAGCGTTCAAGCAAGATGAATCTGATGACGATAATGCATCCATTATTTCCTACGAAGACGAATTTGGCCGTTCTCGCCGTGGCACTCGCGCCGAAGCTGCCGAAGCTTCTCGCGCCAAGGATGAAGAAGCAGGTGGCAAAGCTGCCCAGGAACGCTGGCGCCCTGCTCGCCCTGACAATTTGATTTACGGAGAGGCCGTTCAGACTGAAGCCTTCAACCCCGACGCCAACATTGCGTCCCACATGTCCCATCTCGCTGCTCGTCGTGACCGCTCGCCTACCCCACCGGAAAAGAAGCATTACGATGCCGAAGAAGAGGTTCGCAACCGTGGAACTGGATTCTATAACTTTTCTACCGACGAGGAAGAGCGTAAAAAGCAGATGGAAGAACTCCGAGTTCTGCGAGAGGAGACTTTGTTCAAGCGGAAAACCCTCGAAGAGCAGATGGCTGAGCGCAAGGCTCATCTAGAGTGGAGATGCAAAGAGATCCAGAGACTTGGTGAAGAACAGGCGGAGAGATGGCGCCTAGAGGATCTTGAAGCCGAACGCAACCCACCTAAGGCAGAAGCAACGCCTCCACCTAAACCACAGCCCACAAAATGGTTGTACGATCCGTCAGACCCACCATTTGACCCAACTACATGCCCACTATGGCGACGATACATGGTCATGGTCTATCCTGAACCAAATGATATCCCCGACTCTACAACGGATAAGGGCAAGGACAAGGACATTTCCTAGGTTTCTTTCATGGTGTTTCGCGGTGGCCAAGTGATGCCTCATCGCCTTTCTATCGCATTTGCCCGCGCTTTGATTGACAATATGCTTTCTGCGTTTTGCTTTTTGTTTGTGTGATACCCCTCATTAGTTAGCTTGCAAATAGATTTGATTGAACCTGATTTTTGTGTCTGTATCTTTGAGCGGGTCTGAGGATCTCAGAAGGCAGGGTGCTTTATATTGATATGCCAGGCTCATTATATAGCATAGTCAATTGCTTTGATAGCGACGAGCTTGTAACCCACCGTACGAGAAGCAGAGTGGTTCTTCAGCGGTTAGCGCGTTTGATGCTGTATGAAGAAACCGAGTGCCTAAGCTCGGGGGAAATATACCATGGGAGTCAATCGTGCTGGGATTCAAAGGTGCTAACACAACGAGGATAATCCGTTATAGATACATGCAGCGTAGAAGCAAAGAGAACCAAAGCTAACAACCGGAACTATTAGAACGAAATTCATGTCTTTTGAAATATTGAATCATCGCAGTCATATCAACATAACTCATAACTCATCATGTCAGAACAGAAATTCCAATCATAAACTTGCAAGCCCCACCACAGTCCCCATCATAACTCAATCGCCCAGTTCATCCATGCGATCCAGGAACGCCCTAGCATCTAAGAGCCCAATCAGTCAACAACACTCGAGAATGGTTTGTTCAGCTCCAACTTACCAGAAGGGGTTGTGAACTCCAGGATATGATGTCCCTGTGACGTTTGTGGGGGCGTATAATCATCTATAGACATAAATATCACGGGTTTGATACCACGCACAATCACCGTTCTGGAATCATATAGCTTAAGCCAACTGCGTTTCCCGAGGCTATGGGTGACGAAGGCAGTCCAGACGGGGGTGCTGTACTTGCTATTAGAATTTAATGTTCAAATCGTAGTTGCTTGACATACTGGTTCATCTCGCCTAGGTAGACCGATGCCTGGAGTCTTACGGCTCCAGTCACCGAGTCTTTATATACGCGCAGCGCGTGCACATACACATCGTCGGTGATTGTACTAGAATATATCAGTCTCTCTGCACTTATTTCTCCTTGGTGTGAATTACTCACGCCCCATAAACTTCATCCTCATGGTCCAGCTCGTGGTCCAAGATATCTCCGATGGCATGGCCTGCATCCTGGGAGCGCAAGGCAAGAAATGTGTTATGGAACAGCACTAGATCTGCATAAAATATGTAAGCGTTATCAATTTAACAAATACAGACTCTCGGATAGAAACTGCTAACCTTCCAATGTGGTGAACTTCAATTGCATCCATAAAACAAGTTCTGTCCCGCGCTTCCGCCGCCTGCACAATCGGAGACAAGAGCCATCTCGCAGCACCTCGAGTAAATTAAGCGGCAAGCAGTAGTATTCACTAGGCCGTGTGCGGTGGGGCTCCTTGCAAAGGATGCGGACGCGGTGGTCTCGTCTTCTTAGGTAGAATGACACACGCATATCGGAATCGTCGTTCAGGGATCTATACTGTGTTAAACATATGCTCGAAAAAGAGTAAGTATTCCCGACTTACAACTGGAGGAGTTCCTCGAAGCCCTCTTCTTTAATCCATTGTTTAACGCCTGGCTGTGGTTCCCCATCGCAGTATGATCTATTGCCAAATATATCAGCAAAATTCCGAAAAGCAAGCTGGGCTATCTATGACTCACCTTTCTCTCACGGATGGTAGAGGAGTGTTGGTGTCACTAAACCCGAATATCTCCTTGGCCCAGTGTTCTTTGATAATATCAGGGGCACTCGAGCGGCTAGTAGTAGAAGTATGTGGCGAGGTAGGGATATCCGGCACAGACGGCGGGAACTCCGAAGAAGTACCGGAAGAAGGCGACATCGGGGGAGACAGATGCGGCGGTCGAGTGCGCTCGTATGACCTCCGCCGCCGTGCATTCCGGTCATTTGCCGGGCTGTTTCTTACCGGGTGTTCCCTCAGTGGGTGTTCCCTTAATGGGTATTCTCTCACCGGGTGGTCCCTTACCGGACGGTCCCTCACTGGGGTGGTGGGACGGGGACGGGGACGGGAACTTGCGTGGTTGCCGGTAGGCGAGTCATTCGGGCGGATAGTCATGCCATCAAAGCGAGCAGCAAACCGACTATCTTGCGTGGAGAGTAGAATCTTGAATCCATTGACAAGGCCCGCGAGGAGCGGTGAAGTATATTGGCCACTATAAAGACCATGGATAAGTATACACAGGCGCTTGTTTTACTGGTTATTGTGGAGCACCTACTCTTTTACCAAGTCGTTGAACTCTTTAAAGACCATCTTGTACTTGATTAGACGGGTGGCCAGGGTATATTTCGATTGATCCCAAAAGAACCGGTCCATATTTAGCCATGTTCGCTTGTACCTGGCCGGACTAGCGTCTGCGCCATCGAGCTCTCTGAAAAAATCGCCGATGTCCTCGATTGTATAGGTGTAACTGGATTGCACCACGTTCAAATCGGGTTTGATCATATTAAAGCAACGGCGATTTCGGGAATCGTCGGCTAGATGTTCCAAGCTGGACAACAATGCGCTGATTGCGTATAACTCGGACATGAGCGAAGTGATTTCGCCCATATGTTCTGGAAGAGGAGCTCTGAATGCATAGAAGCCAGCCGCCATGTCTTCAGCGCTCTGACGAGACACACGCAGAGCCTGTGCCATCTTGGAGCCCTCGGAGTTAGGCCATATGGTGGGTTTCCTTTCTTTGGGAGGGGGAGGTATGGTGGGGAGGGGCAAGAAAAAATTAAGAACTAGAAAGCCAATAGGCTCACATGCAGAGAATTAAGATTATCTGACAAATAGAAGAAAAAAAAGGAAGATAAAAGAAAAAAAAAAAGAGAGAAAAACCCACCCCCCCCATGAGGCTCTTGACAGGGTTCTCCCTTGCGTCCAAGACCTGACGTGTTCACGCGCGAATGGCGGGGCTTGGTGGAGTCTTTTCTCCCGCATAGTCCATTCTTTTTTCTAAATAGTAGACTTGAGGATATATATGTTCATAAAGAAAAGATATACATCTTAAGGTTATAAACCTTGACTCAGATTCCATGGTTCACAGGGTCTTCCCCAGCCCTAAATGTGGGGATCTCATCAGTCTCATCGCCTCGGTCAGACCAATCATAACATACACCAAGCCGTTTGGGATGCACAGCCCACAGTATAATAACAAGATAAAGTCTTGGTTTCTAGAATTGGTCGCCTCTATGACAGCGAAAACTGTAAATTACATGAAATCTAAGAAGGAGAAACCATTTAGAGGGACAAAGGCTATAAAGCCGAGTGTCAACGAGTATGAAAAGCAAACCTTAGAATACCACGGAGATTACTAATTAGCCTTGAGTTCGAAGTCTCTGACTAAATACATTCTTTTTTGGTCCTTTTATACTCCACAACCCGAAGTCTAGTGTTGCCGAGAATATAGCTGCATGATCACCTTAGGGTGTGCACTAGGATATGATAGACTGTCTCGCCATCAACTCTATATTATTGAATTCCACCACATCAAGTATAGGTATTCAAGAATCCGATCGAGTTAGTATGGACCTGAGATGTAGTGGCCACGAATCTCGTTTACCTGGGTTACATTGCATTCGTGTAACGGCACATTATGTACCCCAAGCATGGATAGTAAATGCGAGACAAATAGTCAACTAGTACGCTATGTATACGCAAAGCTTGATTTTAGAACGGGCTAGAACATCAATCTTAACATGACTCGCGTAAGTGAGCTGAATGAGCTAAATGAGCTTATTAGGGCTGTTTGGGCCCAAGGCTGTCACTATGGAAACCACGCTATACAACGAGGTCGAGTCTCAAAAAAAGATCCGGACAGGCTGCATAAATCTAGAAGATCGAAAGAAGTTCACGAGTAGTGCATGCACTTGACACTGATCTGCGGGTATTGCAGTTTTCTAATTGCACCGGGTTCAGCCCCATTTAACAGGGTTGATTAATATCTGATTTACCCACTGTGACTGTAAAACTACTTCATAAGTCGCAAGTGCATAAAGAAACGCCAGTCTTGTAGAGCATATGATCCAACAAATCGACCACATGGACCGTTCACCGTTCAATACGTGTGGAGATACAGTCTCATACTTTGAAACCCCTCCACGCTCCGGGGAAGGATGTTCCACTTGCGATCGTGCTGGGAGAGACTTAAAGCATAGTCGTAGTAGCCGCGTCAACAGAACAAGGCCTTGAAATAAACACCGCCATGGAACTAGGATGCATGGCATCCCTGTCTAAGGCTACCTTTCTTAGTTTCCGGAAAGTAGATTAGATCCATAGATCCAATAAGACCAAACGCTACAGCTGTTCATTGACTGGTGCATACAAGTTGTCGTAACCGTCATGGTGTGGGTTTATGCGCTAGGGCATGCCACAATAAAGTCATGCATCAACAAGATGTCGGCATATCATATTGGAATTGGCCCAAATTGAGACTTCTCGCGCATATATGCAGCTGGTTGGCTCATGCTTCAAGACCTTGAGACAACCATTGAGGTATGAATTCGCTTCTGTAAAGAGATTGTCAGAGCCTGTGCATTTAGCAGTGCGCTTTGACTAACGATCTCCATATGCTGCTTCCACCTCGTAAGCCGGTGATAACGTATCGTATTGTCGTCCTGCTGTCTTTCTGTTTCATCGTAAGTCCTCCCAATTGTGAGCGCCCGTGTAATCATCACTTCGCGTGTCATCGTGTCCGTAACGTATTGCGCAATCGTATCGTATTGTCGCCCTGCTATCTTCCTGTCTCATCGTGAGTCCAACATGTCAACGTCGTGTATAATCACTACTTTGCATATCATCATGCCCGTAACGTATCGTCGTATCGATGCGTATTATCGCATCATTTTATGTCGTATATCGCATCGTACCCCCACCCACATTGCATAAGCGTGACCCGCGCGCTCACTTGCGTTAGTCCCGATCTCAGCCACCCTAAAGAGCTCGTGATTTCCACACTTTTGCACTTCCAGAGCGAGGGCTCGAGGGTTTAGGGTCGGGGTTCACGACGCCCAAGCTCGAGATGACTGTAGGTTCCTAGTATATCGCAGTCTTCCACAACGCCTTGTGAATCAACCTCGGTGACTTTTCTGCTGTTTGTTCGACTTCCACTTTGATCTGGATTTGGGGTTTCCGATGAGAAGTCGATGATCTGCGGATGATTCTTGATTAAGCAACCTTGGAAGACTCTTCAGTCAACCTCAAGTTTAAGCTTCGAGCTTCGACCCCGGATTATCGGGGCGGTGAATGACGCAGGCGGTCAGCCCCCGATTTGCGGGGCAAAAAAGCTCGGAAGCTGAGAGCTCTCCGAAGCTTCCCCGAGGCTTGGCACTTAACAGGGTTACAGTGAGGTCAACATGAAAATGGTACGGGTGATTCCTCGCACAACAGATCGAAGCTCGTATATGAATCATCTCCACAAGCAAGTGAGCTGGTCAACGTTTGCTTGCCGTTTACAACAGCTAAAACTACTTGGAATACTTGGTTAAAGGTTGAGATTTCCCATTGATAACTTAATACCCTAAGAGCAAAGAGGAACAGTTCAGAAGCAAGTAAACCCCACCCGTCCTCCAAACCCAGAAACCGTGCAAGAAACCGTCCGAAAAAAAAAGCAGGAGAACCATTAGAGAAACACAAACGCCCAGAGGTAAAAGACGAAGTGAAGCTAGAGGGCAATTTAGGAGGATTCCTCCTCTTCCTCCTCCTCAGCCTTGGCGAGGTAGGCGGCCTTCTCCTCTTCGTAGCGCTTCTTATCAGCAGCAGCCTTGGCATCGTATGGCTTGCGGTCGGTCTCGCTCAGAGCCTTCCACTTGTCACCGAGCTGCTTGCCAACCTGACCTGTAGGGGTGTTAGATATGTATAACGAAGCTGGGTATACAATTCACTGACCGAAGCTGATACCGGGGTTCTCCTCGCGAACCTTGTCGCGGTTATCGTTGGCGAAGAACATGTAAGCGGACAGACCACGCTTGGGGGCGTTGGGGTCTAGGAAGGAAATTAGTACATGCTGGTGACGAGCCAACTCTTGTTAACTTACCCTTCTTGCGGCGCTGGACGCGCTTCTCGGGGGCCTTGCGAGTGGACTTGGTGGTGGCTTCCTTAGGCATGATGACTGTTGGATGTTAGAGGCGATTTCTGGTGGTTTTTGCCATGTACGATGTATTGTGCAAGAAATGAAAGATGTAATTGGGTCAAGCGAGGGTTTGGATGCGCAATTGACATAAAATTCAGGTAGTGAGAGAGGAGGGTGGACGCGAGTGTTTGCTGGACGCGTTGCGCGCAACCAACCACTTGCGACCGAGGGAAAACAGAGCTTCGAGATGATAGGGATAGGATCAACTCACAGTAATTTGACTTTAACGAATCAGAGTATGTGGAAAAAAAAAGAGCTGAGAGTTTTCGAGTTAGTTAGGTGGACAAAAACATAGATTGAGATGCGCGACCGCAAGGTCGGCGCAAATGGGAAAAAAAAAGACAGGCAATGAGGTGAAAATAAAGGATTGCAAGGACCAAAAGAACTGAAAAAAAAAAGGGGAATGTGGTGGTGGTTGAAATGTGCTTCAGAAGTGTTGATTTATAGAGCTCGGGGGTTGATATGCAGTACCTTTTTTGTATGGGAGCGAGTTTGTATGGGGAGAATGGTAGTGTAGGAAGATAGTAAGAGAAGAGAAGAGTAGAGGGGGGAGGGCCGTAGTAGTAGCAAAGAGAGGGGGGGCCACAGCAAGGGAATGGCAACGGTACTGATTTCGCTGAGAGAAAACGTATGGTACTCGTAATTTACATTGTCCACCATACTATTTACGGTCAATGCCTCGAAATTTACGTCTTATTTCTTCAATTGATCTTGAATAATTTCATTCAGACCATTTGCTATTGATAGATTCATCTACATTCGCACTTTTTTCAAAGCAAAATTTTTATAATTGAATGAGTTAGAGAATTTAATACGTTATGAAACGAAACCATCATTCCGGTACCTGGGACTCTTGTGGATTGCGCTCCGTCATATTAATAAACCGCGCAAACGTACAGGTACACAGTACCCGGTAACACCATACTTAAAGCATCTGTTCGGCAAGTACCTCGTACCTCCCATTACCAGTTTGCCATCGAATTTGATGGCCTGTATCCATAGATGTACATATTGGCGACAAGTGGCTATTGAAAAATGTGACAGGCAACGATACCTTTTTGTTTATGGGTACAAGTAGGCTACGATGTATCGTAAAAACCCGAAAGCAAAAAAACATCCGTTAAGAGATATGCGGAAGGAGATAGAAATAACAAATCAAGAGTTGCATAACGTATTCAGTTTAAGGGTGGGATTCTTTGTACATACATTTGATTTATAGACTTGCTTCTATAGGGCATGGCGTATAATGGCTTTGGTCGCCAGTCCCAAGGTCATGCGTAGGTGCGAAGTACAGTTAACATGTACGGGGTACCTTTTGCGTAGAAAACATTGAAAACAGGTCCCAGTTCACTATCATTGGTAGCATTATTCCCTCTATAAAAAAATAAGACTTCAGAAAACAAGGTCTACTTAAGCTCTGGGTGTTAAAATCTATTGACATTATCATTTAATCGACAATTCTGTGCAATAGTGCAAACCCTAATTCGGCCGCAAAGCGTATAAAACAGGAGTATTGAACTATCATCTTCAGGCAAGGGCGGATGGTTGCTCAATCATAAGCGTGGCGTACCCTTTTAGCGTAACCCCGATTGGAAACACGGCTGGGCAGGTACCTGGGAACTTGGGCAAGGTACTGACATGACCCTGTCGATAAAGGTCATACGTCTACTCTGTAGTGTAAGAAGCATGAATATGGCACCCGAATGATGTATTGCTGTTTTCTTAGCCCTAAGATTATTCACGCCCAGTGGAACAGCACGGAGATGGAAGAGCATAGAATAGGTGATCTTACTCCTTCCTTACAGAGCTGGATCACACCATCATCACAAGCTAAATCGAGCATGGATATCTTCTCCAATATGGATACAATATAGACCGTAGCAGGGGTATTCTATCTAAAATGTGTTCCCACCTCCTGAAATCGATGGCTCATTTATCTTGCAGTTATGGCATATAGACTTGGTAGGCTAACACGTAGAGAGTTGACAGATTGACAGATCAAGAGCAAAAGTCCGTACACCATGCGGAATAGACATTGTCAACTCCATAAAAAAACAGCGCATAGACCATGTTCCGTTCCCTCAGCAAAGTTCCTTTTTTTTACCCATACCGTTGATACTGCAGTACTGCCGTGTGGCAGTGTATGAGTTAATCCACCTGTAACTTAAATGTACTCCATACAGTTCCACGCCTTCCGACAGGAAATCATAGAGTTCGTGTCTGTGTGGAAAATAATTTTATATGTCTCTAATCAGAAATGGAGCTAGTTATGCATTTATCCGAGCATAGAGCCCTTACTTCTACGCGACCATCTATCTATATTATGCACCGCGGTGTATAGCCGTCATTATTGCAGTCAACACGCCCCAGTATAATTTCTATCCAGTCCACATTATTCAGTTTAAAAATATACTCTTTTTTTTTTTGCCCCTTAGGAATAGAAATCGAATGTTCCGGGGACTTGGGTATGATACAGCGCCGGTGCTCCCAAGTACAAGAGAGTTGTAAAAAAAACGGGAACGCGTCCACAAAAAAACATCAGTCATCACTTTCATCCAGCACCAACGCGCGCAGTATGTCGTCATCGGCCCAATTTAGTCCACTACCAACAACTACCGCACTAGCGATAGACTTCATGGTCTCCCATTGAGCTTTGCGTGCCTTTAAATCAGCTTCAAACCTATCCAGTTCTGATAACAGGGAGTCTTCAAGCTTCTCTCTCCATGACGAATCTTCTTTCGTGAGCTCTAGTAGCTGGCGCACCAGTTCCTGGTTTTCGCGATTGATCTGTAGATTCTTTATCTCCAGGGATGAGAGCTGCCTCATCACCAAGTCATGTGCTGACGCAAGATTCTCATGTGCAAGTGCAAGCACATCGCGACGATTCACCAGACAAAGAAGGGCTCTGTATATGTCTCTTATCAGATTTGGTTTAGCTTAAAGGTTTTTTATGGGTACGTACCTCTCAGCGGGGGTGGCAGCCTTTAGGTGAACAGCTTTGATAATAGGCTCTGTCATGAGGATGGTGCGAACAGCCTTTCTCTTGACCGTGTAAGTAGATCGTGCCTCTAGTAGCTCACGTTCCGCGACTGCGAGCTGTTCTTCAGGATCTGCACCCGAACATGATTCCAGTTCTAATAGGATGAAATTGATTAGAACCAAGGCAGATAAAAAAAAAGCAAACATTAAAAAAAAAAGCATAGCGAAGCTTCTATCAGACGTACCTTGTTCGAGAAATGCCTTTTCCAGCTGTTGTTCCTGAACCTGGTTGTAGAGCTGTAGCACCAAAACCTCTTTATCCGACAGAGTCACGACATCGCGAGAGTCATCTGCAGAGTAATCTAGCAGTGTCACCTCACCAGATTGCAGGTGAGGCAGTGACAGGCCATGTTTTGCAGCCATGGACGTAGATCCCGTGAACGCGGGCGCATCTGGTGATATGAAGATAAGACCGGAGGCGGTGGGCGAGCTTCCCCGGCCACACGAGGTTGCTCCGCAACCTTCAACGTCCTGAGCCTGACTGGGGGCTTTGGGACTCTCATTCTTTTCATTCTTTTCTTACCTGTAACTCTTCTTTGGGAAATATCTCTCACTTTTCTCTCGTACTGAGCATTTAAGCTCGCCTGGTGCGGAGGTGATGTCGTTGCACATCTACATTGCTCACACTGGGGAGCATTTCCTCGCTGATCCAGTGGCATTTGCCTCGTATGTCTCCGCTGTCTCCATTTAATGGTGTCTCCTATCTATTTATCTATGCTCGAATGGACCTATCCGAACTCCAGCTGACACATTGTCTCTAGTCCCGATGCTTTGAAGTTATGGATCGTTCGCAATACATCTATCCCACCTCCACGGCAAATATTGATGACCGCCCGGGGAAAGAATGTCAAGATCCAAACTCTCGCTGCCGAGGTGCGATTTGATTAGTATCAATTATGACCTGGAAATAAGCTAACTCACAGGCAACCATCGCAGAACGAGATCTTTGTATATGACCGACAATACGTCAGTGAACCAGGCGATGTCGAATTTCCGGAACTATCTCCCCCTGAACCATTCCAACCCGGCAGCCCCCCAGCTACACTCAAAGACCAGAACGACCTCCAGGCATGGCGGAACCTTTACATGCAACGCCGCAACTGGGCACTGGACTTGTCTAGTCGCTGTGGGTCTATTGATAAGAACGTCCGAGAACATAATGAGCGAATCGATGTTATAAACCGCGCGGTGGGCGTGGCTCTGGAGAACCTCAAGTCCCATGTGGGCAATCTGGAGCATCGGTTCCAAGAGGCACAGTCGTGGGCGAATAGCATCTTAGAAGAGCAGCGGGCTGCTTTAGATGGCTGGCAACGAGCTCTTTCCACACTGGACAACATCCCGGCACGTAAAGATTTCCCTCTTCTTGGACGCCCGTCCACGCCCAAAATGGACACGGATCGACCAACCGGAACGCTGCGTGACTTTGTTGATGTAGGCGAGGTTCAACGGGCTGGATCAGAGGCCGCGACTGTGTCGAACGCCTTTGCTGATAGCGTCCATGACATTGAGAAGACAATCAGCGATATCGCCTCCGACACTCAACAACTGGTGGACGAGGCCCTTGCCTCAAATCTTGACGGGGTGGATGGGTTGCTGGAAGAAGTTGAGACTATTGCGAAGAAGATCGGGTCTGATTATGAGCATGTTCTCGGTCTGCCTAACAACCAGAAAACGTTGGCCAATATCTCAAGACTTGCATTCAGCCATACACAGGACCTTCTTCCATCGCTGGCGGAGACTAGCGTCGAGCTTCAAGTTGCACTGGAGCAGGCTGTGCAGCGCCGGGGGGCCGTGGAGAAAGCGGCCATTGAGCATATGCGCAGGATTTCCTCCCTTGAGTCTAGACTTGCCGACGCTCATGCACGAATGGTCAATCTGGACGTAGGAAGTAATGCCTTTGAAGTCATCTACTCTGTCTTCCAAATGCCAATGGTATACGGGTCAATTCTTATCGAATCCGTGCGGCGGCGAGAATGGAGTGATAAGATCAAGACTGACTCCCTGACGCTGGCTGAGGAGATGGCGGTTTTGAGAGATGAGGAGCAACGCCGCAGGAAAAAATGGCTAAAAAACATGGGAGACTTTATGACTGTGACTGATTCTACCCCACCAGGAATCGAAGTCAACCTTCAAGGTCAGGATGACGAATGGCCTGAAGTAGCTCGGAAAGAAATCGAGTATTACATCGACGATTTAAAGACCACTCATTCCTTGACCAACCTAGCAGAAGAGCTCACCCAGCAACTCAAGGAGCTGGATGCACCCACTCGGCAGCAAAGACGACGAGCCAAGGCGTTCAAACAAGGCAGCGTATTTGATCTGAGCCGGAGCTCTATATTACGCGCCGATGACTCCGTCCGTAGCTTACAAGAAGAAAAGACAAAGCTAGAAGAAAAGCTCAAGGGGTCTGACAGTCGCGTCCGAAAATTGGAAGATCTTTTGCATCGTCAGAGTCACCTCAGCCGGCCATCAAGCGGCAATTTCGGCCCAGACTTCCCTGGTTCACCTTCATCTCCACACCCTGATGCACTCTCTAGACGGTCATCCGTCTCTTCGAGGCGAGTCTCAGCCACTCAGTCCGCCGAAGACAAAGCCCTCATCCAGCGTATTGTTACGCTTGAAGCCGAGCTGGCGGCTGAGAGAGATGCGGTCCAGCGACTCCATAAGGAGGCCCACGCCGAGAGGCAGACTCACTCCGACAAGTTCCAGGAAGCCCAATCCACCAAAAAGGACCTCATAGGTAACCTTGAAGCGCGCCAGCGCGAATTTGAAGATGAGCGCCGATATCTGGACTCGGAGCTAAAGAAGTTCAGACTCCGTACCGAGGAAATGGAAGAAGAGCTTGATCGGCTTATGGATAGCAGGGAGCATGGGAGACAAGATATTGACGACCGGATACACCAGCTCGACCTCGACCTTCAAAATGCTCAGGCCAATTCCGCCGAAGACGCACAAAAGATCATTGATCTTAATGCGCAGATTCAGACTGGACAAGAGCGAGAAGAAAGCCTCCAGGCTAAGATTGATGATCTCGAGCACCGACAAGCGGAGTTCGAGCAAAAGCACCAAGAGAGCTATCAAGACCTCCAAGCTATCTTCATGAACCTCTCGCCCGGAGGCATTGTACCTGTCGAACTTCCCGACATAATCAAAGCCATTGAGGTTCTTTCTGAAGGTCTGTCCATCCACGCGAAGAGCGCGGAATCGAATGCATCTCAGACAATGGAGGAGAAAAAGGCTCTGGAAGAACAAATTGTGAAATTCGAGGCGGAGGCAGAAGAGCGGACGAAGAGGTTCGAGGAATGCGAGGCCGAATTGTCGAAATTAACTGCAGAGCTCTCACGCGAGCGATTAAAGTCGGATGATTTGACCGGCGAACTGGACAAAGAGCGATCTAAGTACAGTTCCTTGCACTCGCAAATGAGTGCTGGAGAGAGTGGTTCCGACGCGCTGCGTGAACAGATCGCCGAAGAGGAACGGAAACAGGCGGAGCTGTCACAGCAACTGGCTGAAGCCGAGAATCAAGCCCGAGATTTGAGAGACCAAGCCGCAGAATGGCAGAGAAAGGCAGGGGCCACTTCGCAGACCGAGGAGCAGGATGTGGCGCGGTTCGAAGCTCGGGGTAACAAGTCCCTTGAGCTTTCAAACCGACTCTTTGCACAGGTCGAGAAGCTGGGTCGGATGCTCGAGCAATTGGGGTTCACTATCATTCAACAAGACGGCCAGCTCCTTGTTCAGCGTGCTTCGAAGCTCAGTGCTTCGCTGGGCCTAGGCGAAAGCCTCGCCCAGTCAGGTATTGTGTCCCTGAAACCGGATACAGCGCTTCTGGACTGGATGAAAGCCGAAAGCCTGGAGGATGAAGAGACCAAATTCTCAGCTTTCATGGAAAGCATAGCTCAGTTCGATGTGTCCCTATTTGGCGATGTTGTTGTCAAACGCGTCAAGGACATTGAACTCCTAGCCCGCAAATGGCAGAAGGAAGCTCGAGGCTATCGTGAAAAATACCACCGAGTTCAGAGTGAAGCTCATGACAAGATCGCCTACAGATCCTTCAAAGAGGGCGACCTTGCTCTCTTCCTCCCCACACGGAATCAGGCCATTCGCTCTTGGGCCGCCTTCAACGTGGGCGCACCACACTATTTTCTCCGCGAGCAAGATTCACACAAACTACAAGCTCGAGACTGGCTTCTCGCCCGCATCACCAGGATCGAGGAACGGGTTGTAGATCTGTCCAAGTCACTGAACGGTGTCGCATCAGACCGTCGCTCCATCGAGAACGCAAGCGACGGCGCCTCTGTAGAGGATGAGAACCCATTCGAGCTTTCAGACGGCCTCCGTTGGTATCTCCTCGATGCCGTAGAAGAGAAACCCGGTGCGCCTGCTACACCGGGAATAGCGAAGAGCACGGTTGCATCGGCGCACGTCGATGCTAAGGGTAGTATCCGCCTCAAACGTGCTACTGACGAGGGCGCCATTGCCAAAACCCTATCCAGGAGTCTAGATAGCCGTCGCGAGAGCCCGAATTCCAAGCGTGGCACCCCCACGCCGTCGCAGCACGCCGTCGAATCTACGACTGATCTTGTGCGCCCCGCTGAAGCTGATACTGGCTCGCAGCCTCGAGAGACTGCTGGGATCTTCGACGAGGTTCGCCGTGACCTGCTCTCCGGCCCGTGAAAAGTAGGGATTGACTTGTTTATCTTTCGTCTTTTCCGGGTCTGTTTTTATGTTATCTGGAATTAGTTGCTAATGGTTTTCTTTGACTAGGATCCTCTTTCTACATCGGCTCCACCGAATATAAGTAACACTACTTCTTCTCCCTCTCGGTCGACGTCCGATCGTCGACACAATGGCCGGTCTCGCCCGTGGGAGAAACTGTGGTCCCTTGACTATCGGCTCGAGGGTGGTACACCATAGACTGATTTCTTTGCTTTGTTTTTTTACACGCTCTGGCGTACTAGGGCGTTGCATTGTTCTTTTTTTGTAATCTTTTTTGGATTGTCCCCTCAGTGCTTGCAGCGCGAATTACGCGTCATTCGGGGATCGATACATGTCCCATTTGCTTTTGACATTGATTTTGTCCAGATACCCAATAATGCAATTTACACTTGAATATATCGATCTACTGGAAGTAGTGTAGGGTATAAGGTGCCGGTCGGGCCTCATGAAACATTTGTCAAAACACTATCAGGTATAGAGGGCAATTTACACAGCGAGTAAGCGGAGGTTGAGTGAAATGTAAGAGAGATGTGATCATGATCATGATCACTAGTCTAATCCTTCGCCTTTCATGCCGCCCATATCGTCCCAGAATTGACTGAAATCCACGTTCTCAGCTTCAAACATCTGCTTCGCTTGCAGCATCGCAGACCGTTGTCGTTCCGCAGTGAAGCCACCAGGCTGCGAGCTCTCCCATTGAATCAGTTCGACCCAACGGAGGAAGAGATCCTCCTTGCCCATCTCGGCCAACTTCTCCTTGAAGGCAAGAATTTGGTCGCGCTGAACGGATTGCTTTTCCCCAGCGGCAGTGTTGTCATCCCCGACACGCCAAATAAGCCAGCCGTCCGAATCGGTATTAACCAGCACAGCAGTGCGGAATTCATCCATCTGTATACCATCACCTCTGCGAGTGCGATCAACAAGAGCATGAGCGCGGACCATAGCCGCATAGTCTAAATTCCAATCCTCGTCCACGAGCAAGTAACCAGTTTTGGCGATTCGCTCTGGAGTCACAGCAGCGACGATCTTATCGCGGCGGGCCTCGTCTTCGCGGATCCACTTGTTGCGCTCGAGATCCTTGCTCCAACTGCGGTTACTGCGGCGGACGATGATCTCTCGCTCGCGGAAACCGATGGCGCGACGCCAGCGCACGGGCCCTCGGATGAAATTAACAGGCCATGACCAGAGAAGGGTCACGAGGAAGTAGTCGAGGCATATCGTTCCAGTCCGGCGCAGGATGATTTCTATCGATTGTGTCCACGGGGTTACTGCTGTGTCCACAGTCATGGAACTTTGGAGCCCGATCAGTGTTGCCACAAGCGCTGGATATGTACTGATTCCCATGTACACCCGTAGACCAATCACAGCAGCTACTACCAGGTTGACGATGAGGGGTACGGTGAAGGTCTGCCGCTTCAGTTCCTCTGCAGTTGTGTCGATGTGGACTAGGTATACTTCGTCGGGGGAGAGTTGTTCGACGAATGGTTGCAATATTTGCGGTACTTTGGTGAATGGTGGCATCGGACCTGAGGATGCGGAGCTTGGTGTTGAGGCTCTGGATGACGTTGGCGTCTTGCCGCGACCTGAGCGCCGGGATGCCTTTGCCATGACGGATGGGTTGGTAGATATATATTCCACTGAACTTCTGGATATGATCTGAGTTGAAGCTTTTCCAAGAGTTCGGAATGCGAGTCTCGTTGCTTTTATTGAAGCTTTCGAGGACAGTGCGAGGGTAGGTGTCACATGTCAAGATAAGGTGAGGATCATTTGAGTATTACAAGGTTGTAAACGCTCTCCTGACAATGTCTCAAGGGCATCTAGGAGTAGTAAAAGAAAAAAAGACAAGCCAAGAAGATAAATTGTGGTTGAAGGAGTCGACGTAATGCGGAAGGAATTCAGACGGCCTAACCGCATTAGGGAATGAGAACGTAGTATTTACCTCCGTCATTTCTTCACAGCGCAGAACCGCGTCTTTCCCCTTTCTTCACTACCTTTTCTATGTGGACCCTCTGCAGGCTGCAAGGGGTATTTCGGTCATGTCATTCGATAAAAACAATCGAGTCTCGCGAGACAGACAGCCGTCACCTTTCCGACGCGCCTCGAAATTCGACCATTACGATATACCTGCGAAGCTCCCATCACCCCCTCAAGAAGATGGTCCACATTCACGACACGCTATTCGCCCAAGATCTCTAGCTGATGCGTATCGAGACGCATCAAAACACGCAATGGCCGCCACATACGACGAAGAATCCCACTATGTGACATCACCAAGCCCGCGATCGAAGCGGCAGCCGATCAACGCGTTCTCGCCCATATCTCAGACTTCTCCTCCCCCCAAAGAACTTGAAGATGCATATAGGCGAATTGATGAAGATGACGCTCTAGCCGATCTCGTGCCCGACTATGACTGGGAGCCGCAGTTCACCGCACGCTCTGGAAGCCGAAGTCGCCCCCCGTCCTCCCGAGCCAAAGACACACATACCGGCAGAGGATCTGCCAATGGACGACCATTCTCCGACGCTGGCTTTGGCGATGAACTCGGCGACCATCGGGTCCACAAGAGTAGGGATTATACTAAGGACGAAGAGCGCCTAAAGCGCGTCACGGGCCAACGCTCGCCGGTCTTCAGCAGGGCTCAGGTCGGACGGGATGCCTTGACGGCAGCTAATTTGAGAAGACGAATGGAAGACAAGACAGGAGCAGATCATTATGCGCCAGAGGCTGACAGGAACGGTGTTCCTTCGCCGAATATACCCACTGGTTGGGGTCATCGGGCAGGTCACAGGCAAGAATGGGAGAGAAAACCCAGCCAGCGCAGTATCTCTGAAGGAGAGGAGGAAGAAAAAGCGCGTCAACGCTGGTCGCCAGTTATTACGGAAGAAACCCAAGCCCCCAGGGCTATGCGTACCTCTCCTCGTTCTCCGGCGCGGAGTACACTTTCTGCTAGAAGCGCTCTTGAAGAACGCACTGCCAATCCATATATGCAAACAACGCATGAGGACTTTGGGGAAACGCAGTCTGGCCCAAAGCTGACCTCACCCCCAACCAGTGGTGGCGAGCCAATCCCCAATTCTCCTATTACAGTATTCAAAAACTCATCATTCGCGAGGCCCAGCCCCAGCAAGCGCGACTCCCGGGAACTACTACGCAAACTCTCTAGGACTGAAAATCCCAAATTTGATCAGGCCCAAACTCCCGAGCCACTCAAACTTTTTGAAAACAAAATCTACGACAAAACCCCTCGGGTAACTGGCGCGTGGATTGATACTCCTATGACCCAGCGGGTGGGTGACAAGGTTGAGCTTCCCGAAGACCTGACGAAAGACCTCCTTCCTCCACGCACAACAAATGAGTCCAAGGATACTGCGCCACCTACGAACCCAGCGGATGTCAAATCGATAGCCGAGGAACCGAAGCCCGCGCAGACTACTGAGAAAGAGCGTCTTCCCGAACCGCTTCCCGGAAAGCAGTTTAAGCCCCAGTTGCAGCGACCTCATCTACCTAAAAGTGCCTTGGAGACAGTCATTGAAGATGCCAGTTCCGGCAAAGATCTGGAGTTCGGGGATGATACCATCGAGTCTCTTCAAGCATTCATGGACGCCCCAGGTGAACCCAAAATCGAGGAAGATGACGAAGCTTACGAAAAGGCTGTCCTCGCCCAGCTCCAAAATGCCAGCTCAAAAGGAAATGACCTGGTCAATTTGGATTCATTGAATATCAAGCTCAACTCTCTAACGAGACATATTGAAGAAGTCAAGAAAGGGCTTGACGACCTGGAAGGTCATGTTAAACAAGACACCGCAATTTTATCGCAGGCAAGTTCTTTGAACAAGAAGAGCCCAAAATTATCACACTTGCACACAGCCGAATCCTGCAAAGGCTGCGACACGCACTCTGATAGACGAATCTACGCTGCGATACCTATTCCTCGGCTGTGGACGCGGAGCCCGCGATCTCAACGCCTTCGGCCCACCAAACTCGGCTGGTTTATCATCATCGCACTCTCGTGGTATATCATCGAATGCCTGATGTGGGACCAGTATAGTCATCCCGAGATATCCGAAAGCTGCGAAGGCTACTGCTTGCAGCCCGATGCGCCTTTATACCCCTGGGTAACTGTCACAATGCTGTGGCGCTGGTCACATCTGTCGACTATTTTCACACCCATTTTCGCTATTTGTGTTGCTTTCTCTCGGCTCGTGGCGCAATTGATGGGTCTTTCGGATGGCTACGTGGATGATACGCCGGAGCTTGGAAATATCATTGGGGAAATCCGCATCAACGGAACGCCTATTGCGTTCCCTTGGCTGTCAACCCCCACACCTGAAAACATTGTGCCTCAACCACAGCAGGCTCACTATACGCAGGAGGCCCACTATACGCAGCCTATGCAACCAGTGCCGCCTGTTTGGTCAGCTCGGAATCCGCCCCCGCAGATGTGGGACAATACCCAGCTGTCGGGGGAGGATGTAATGGACAATGATGAATATCTTTAGTTGCCAGAAATGTTCTTCAAATTCCCACGTTTACTTTCTCTGCTTTGAGCTAGTATCTAATGCAATCCCGGGTAGCGCTTCATTGCTACAAAGACCGTTTTTCCAAGAAAGTAATGAATATTTAAAGTCTTCTATATACATAGCCCAATAAACGCTATAAGGTACACGTATGACTGGGGCCCTATCGGACTACTCACTATGTACACCGATTGTCATGAGAGTCGTTAGAAATATAAACAGGGTATAATGATGCAAAACCAGGAGAGAAAAGCATATAAAACAACTCATAACCGCGCTGTCGCACGCCATTGCTTCTGCAATTCGATCTCTCCCTCCCGCTTCCAAGCAGACATTCTCTGCATGAGAGCCTCAACTTCCTCATCACTGGTTTCACAGGCCTTTTCAATCGGAATCTCCTTTGTCAACTGCAGTTTGAAGCCCAACCACGTTAGATTCCCCGTCGACGTGACCCGACCAGCAACGGCATCCCGACAGAACCCAGCAAAGCTCTCAAAGAAACGATGGCTAGTGGGTCTACCCATCATAAGTAGACCGTGGCAGTGCGGCATACCCTCAAACATCTCCGCAACGAGGGGCACACCGGCCTGGTAAACGCGGCGCGCCAGAATGAGGCCTTCGTCCATGAGACCTTCCTCGCCAGTCGAGATCCAAATAGGCGGTGCGTTCTTCCAGAGAGCAACAGGCGCAGCGAGGGGAGATACCAATGGATGACTCAGCATGCTGGCGTTGCAGTAGACATCTGCACGAGGCGGGGACGCCGGCCAGATATCGTCTGGCGTAAAAGGGAGCGGGGTGAACGAAGTCCTGACATCTGGGTCGTTGGAAGGCACAGCCGGTGCCTCGAGGTAATCGAGATGTGCATTGGCGCTGGTAGATGGCATGGAGCGCGACACGTCGCACCATGGGGAGGTGGTTGCGACGCCTGCGGGTAGTTCGACTGGCACATCTTTGCCGTGGAAGCGGATTGTCTGGGATGCGCGGTCGAGGGTTAGGAGTGTTTGGAGGAGGACTAATGAGAGGTTCCCGCCAGCGGAATCGCCTGCGAATACGATTTTGTTTGCTGGTATGGGTTTGTGGAGGGAGCCTGGAGGCGGGTGGAGGAGGGAGAGGTATGCCGTTAAGGCGTCGACTAGTGCGGCTGGGAATGGATTTTGAGGAGCGAGGCGATATCGGACGGAGAAGACGGGGGCTCCGGTTAGGTGAGACAGGTGTGCGACGGGGACGCGATGGCTGCAGGGATCTAGAAGGCTGTTTTTGGTTTGGATACGTTAGATATGTGCGTTTGTTACAGGGTCGAGTGATAGCTCACAAATAGGCACCGCCGTGGAAATACAAGATCGTCATATCAGACGGCGATTCCTCGCGCAACTTGTAGTATTTCTCCTCTTCCGTGAGATCGGGCTCTGGTGTTTTCTTTCCAACTCCGGTGCGGTAACCGGTCCATTCGGCTTCGACTGCGATAGTCGCGGGTATATCATATGTCTCATCGCCGGTCTTGAGATCTTCGATTGCGCGTACTACTGCATTGCGCACGTCGATCTCGGGCTGCGGGAGGGTCACCTTGGACACCCACATGGGACCCTTAACTCCGGGGTCGCGTATGCCTTGTTTTTGAATTTTGCCGAGTGGAGCATTTGTTGAAATGAATGAGCGAATGATGGCGACGGTTAATTCGGTGCGCATGTCCTGTTTCCCCTTGACGGGGGACATTCGAATGCCATGCAGGAGGATGGTCTTAAGGATCAGCGGAATGCGGGCCAGCAGCGCCTTCAAGAGACCGAGAGGTTCCCTAAGCGAGCCCATGGTGCGAAGGGAGCAGCTTTGCCCTCTGAAAAATGAGAACGGAAGAAGAAGAGGATTTGAAGACCTCAAAATCTTCCGAGGTTAAAGATGGTAAACCGGGTTTGGTACCTGAGTGGCGTCAGTGCCGAGGTCCCATAGGTGCCCCACAAGCCCTTCAGAGTTGCTTCCATGTGTTCGGACCAATTATTCTCATCGGTCTCATATTAGTCTGATTAGTAACTAGATACTATAATTAAGTATCAGGGCCGTAGTGAATTTCCTTGATATGCAGTGTCATCCGGAAAATCATATAAAGAGGATCTGTTGTAAGATCGACTACCCCCTCCTAGGCTATATTCGATGGCTCATGATACAGGGCCTATGTCACTACGGGCCGTTTCTGGCGTTTTATTATAAGTTGAGCCGCGTTTCAAAAAAAGAAAACATAGTCTGTTTCTCAATAATGTCAGACAGTACGAAGTACGGGGTACTTTGTTTTACTCCCTCAAAATATCATATTAATCTGGAACGTTGTATGGAAATAAAAAACTAATCAGATGCCCTAATCCGGTGAGATGACTAAGATCAACCGCCTCAGGCATTCACAATTCTTATGATCTTCAATTCTAAAGCTACCCTGGTTTGTTTCAGGTCTTCTGTTTTTGATGTCTTCACTTTACAAGCCTTGAGGCGAAACTTCCGTACCTGTTCACTGTACATTTTACTGAGAATCTATCCTGTAGATGCTATTTGCATCTTTCATATTCGCCCCTCTTATCCTATCCTCATCTCCCCGCTGCAGTCGACCCATCGCACTGGGATATGTCTATGGTAGTAACTCGGGCAGACACCACTCAATAACTTGAGAGATGGAGGATAGCACTCTTTTCGGCGAAGACCTGCCGCTCCCACCAGCCCGACTTTTTGAACGATTAGGCCAGTTACCTGGCTATACCTGGGATCAGGCGATCGAACCGTTTCACTCGACATACAACCACTGGCATATCTCAGGATACCGCCATGCTTTAGAGCCAGATGTTTTAACTCCTCTTGCAAATTCCTCCAACCCCGCCTCCTCCGGACCGTCGAGCCTCACGCGCTTCTCCCCGCGCACAGAAACCAGGCCATCCGCTCGTGCCTTGCGAAGATTGAGCACCAGCGAAACCAGTAGTGACATTTCATTTTCCAACCAGCATAGCCTGGAAACAGAACAAACATGGATGCCAGTGATCGCGCGAATTTCCACCAACATTATCCGGCTCGAACGAGAGTTTCACATGCTCAGGTCAATCGTACAATCTTCAGATCCGGATTGCAATCATACGATACGACCAGTCGACTTGATCAGATTGCAGCCAGATGACGGCCAGTCGAAGACGCTGCTGGTTGCGATCTTTGAGTCTCCAGGCCACGACAGGTTACGAGATCTAGTCACATTTGGCCCCGCCTCATTTGTGGCAGGGTCCAGAGGTGAAGACAACAATACCACGCCCAGCGAGCAGGTCTCCTTACAAGCGTTTTTCGATTTTGCAATTGGGGCATGCGACTGTCTAGAGATTCTACACTATGGTCTGAAGACAGTGCACGGTGAAATCAGAGGTGATGCATTCCACTTCTGTGCAGAGACTGGGGCAGTGAAGCTCGCAAACACCGGCAACGGTGCTAGATCTTTCGATAACGTTCTCAGCGAGGGCTGGTCCTCCGTTTCGCGCGAGCTTGGAGCTAAGTACAAGCTGCAATTCATTGCCCCAGAGCAGACCGGAAGAATGCCCACAGAGCCGGATAGTCGCACTGATATTTATGCCCTGGGCCTCTTCTTCTGGTCCATGCTGGTGGGAAAGCTCCCGTTTGAAGGAACCGACCCCGTCGAAGTCGTACAGAATGTACTAGGCAAGAGATTGGTGCCAGTATCTGGGAAGCGAATGGATATTCCGGATGCTCTCTCGGCTGTGATTCAAAAAATGACACAAAAGGTGGTTCATGATCGCTATCACACAATTTCATCTGTGAAGAGAGACTTGACCCAGATTGTAAAATTGCTTGGTGACGGTGACAGTGAAGCATTGAGCAATTTCCAGGTCGCGCAAGGAGACGTCTCCTCCTTTTTCACTCTCCCGACGCAAATGTTCGGGCGGCAAGAAGAATACAACAAGATCCTCAGTGTCATCGAAAAGGTCAATAGGCGCCAGGCGGCTGCCTTGGCCAAAGCTGGAACTCAAAGTCCCGGTACAATGCACGCCCTCACATCGGCTTCGTCTATCTCTGACAGCCGCATCGAAAGCCTCGAATTTGCTTCTGTCTCTAGCGATTCTGGCTCCTTTGTTTTGCCTCCTCGGTCGTCTTCTAATGTCACCAGTCACAGTCTTGCGCAAGTAAACACCCATGAATCTTCACCGGGTAGTGACACGTCGTTTTCTACTCCGAATCATACAATTGTCCCCGATGTGTATAGTCAAAGCTTAAGAGCAGGGCTCAAGAGCCCATCGCATTCTCGATCTTCCCATAATACAGACCGAGAGAGTCACCCCTCCATCGGTCCTCACAGTCAACCATCAACAAACCATACTGTTAGTCAGTCGGGATCACTTCATTCCTTGAATAAACAGAAGAATGTCGGGAAGTCTCGCCGCAGTGAGCGCTGTGAAGTGATCACAATCAGTGGTCCCGCTGGGATTGGAAAAACGGACCTCTTAAATCGGATCCAGCCAACAGTTCGCAAACTCGGATGTATAGCAATTACTCGTCTGGACCGGGCCAAGCGTGTCCCTTTTGAACCATTTGCAAAATTACTGGCTAGTCTTTTGCGCCAGATATTCTCCGAGCGCGATGTCACAACAGATTACCATAATAGTGTTAGAATGGCCCTGCGGCCGATGTGGCCTACTCTTCACAGAGTTTTGGATCTTCCCGAGCAGCTGATGTCCCCTGGCGCGAAGTACAGACCGACTGATGCAAAGGCCAATCTTTTCATGCCAGAGAAGGGCGAGCCATCCAAGCACGTCAACATCCCCGGGCTGGATCAAGGCCAGACTTCCCAGGATTTCTTTTTGGCAAATGCTGCCTCAAAGAACATGCGGCTCATGGAGACATTCCTTGAGATCTTGCGAACCTTGTGTCAATTCAAACTGATCACCGTATGCCTCGATGATCTCGAACATGCCGATGACGAAACTTTGGACTTGGTAATGAAAATCATCAAAGCAAAGCTCCCATGTGTGCTCATACTGTCAAGTCGCAAGGATGAGATTGCATCTGAGCAGGTAAGGTCTCTATTTGTGGAAGACCTTCCAACGGTCACGCGAATCGCACTCGAGCCCCTCGGAGAGGAGCATGTCATGGAAATTGTAGCAAAGACAATGCATCAGAAACCCGATCAAACATTGACACCACTATGTGCGGTTGTCCAGGAGAAGAGCCGAGGAAATCCTTTCTACGTTCGGGTAATGTTAGAGACTTGTTACAGAACAAACTGTATTTGGTATTCATGGAAGGACTCGAAGTGGCTATTTGACCTTGATCGGATATTTACGGAGTTTGTGGCTCCTGTCTACGGCGAAGAGCTTGGACTTGGATTCCTTACCAAGCGTCTTCGGGACATTCCCCAAGCCGCTCGATCAATCATGGTCTGGGGAGCTGTTCTGGGCAGCCCATTCTCTTTTTCTTTGGTGCAAAAGCTCTTGACAAGCGAATTTCTGTATTCGAGCAACGACGATGACGACGTTGATCTCACATCACCGCAAAATGTCACCCTCATCAGACAATCGGAAGGTGATATAGTTGTTGGATTGCAGTTTTTGGTTCAAGCAAATCTTCTGAACACGGGGAAGACCGACGATGAGTTCAGGTGAGACATCTAATGTTGGTTACTCCTGTCGCCAAAACTCTTACTAATATTTCTAGGTTCGGCAATGAACGGCTTGCACAGGCTGCTCTTTCTTTGAGCGAGAGTCGAAATGTAGAGAAGATGCATTTCATCGTCTCGCAAGCGCTGATGAAATATTACCACGACCATCGCAGTCGCTATTCAATGGCCCATCATGTCGCGCTTGCGTCACAGACCATCAAGTCTTGCGTCAACAGACGTCTCGAATATCGACGGATCTTATGGGATGCCGGACAAACCGCTTTCCAATCGGGCGCGCGACCCTCTGCACTTTGGTACTTTCGTCATTGCATCGCTTTACTTCAGGAGGATATGTGGAATGATCTCAAGCCCGACGTTTATTACGATGAAACAATGCGGCTGTTTATCACGACCTCCGAGATGTCATGGTCTCAGGGCCACAATGACGATGCCCTCAAGTTGATCAACGAAGTATTTATTCATGGCAAGGACGCCGTAAGCAAGTCGAGAGCCTGGATCATTAAAGCCAAAATCTATGCCCAGCTAGGCGATCATCATCGCTCGATGGAATCACTTCTCACCTGTCTTGATGAACTGGGTGTGCACCTTCGTCAACCTACAACTTATGAGGAGTGCGACGCTGCCTATTTTCGCCTCAAGTCCTATTTCGACACTGCCGACCTAAACTCTATTGCCCAAAAGCCAGTCTCCAAGGACCCCACTATAGTGACTATCGGCACAGTCATGGCGGAGGCGATGACAGTCACGTACTGGGACGATGCATTGACTTTTTATCGGATGGCGCTTGAAGTAATGAACATTCATGTTTTCAAGGGTAGTTTCACACAGATCGCAATAGGTTGCTCCCATCTTGCCATGATTACCTTCGGTCGCTTCAAAGATATCGAGTTTGGCACAAAACTTAGCGACCTTTCACTGGAGCTGCTCGAGCGCTGCCCCGAATTGTCAACACAGAGCAGAGGCTCGATCGTTCATAATCTCTACGTCAGCCATTTACGTGTCCCCATGGCATCAACACTACCGGCCTTGGAAGCTTCGCTCGAGGCTTCTTTCTCAATGGGTGACCCATATCTTACCCTGATCAGTATCTCATCAATGGCCATGACTCGATTGTATCTGGGCCAAGACATGGCGCAGCTGGAGACTTTCTGCGTGG